ATTTTACGATCGAGTGCTCCGTCGTCATAGTACAAATAGTTCATAGTTTCATACGGTACCTACTATACCTAGTACCTACACTATTGCAGATTATTTATAGCAGCCAGGAGGTATTTACTACTTACAATCAATGGTAGGTACTTACACATACCACGATCGAAATAATAGTTATACACACAATAATACATAATAAATATAGTTGGCAAATGTAGATTTACACATAGATTACACTCATCATACATTTTTWCTTGTCATAATTACTGTAAAGACTCCGTCTAAATCTTTCTCCTGACCGCCCCAATAGTAACTAAATTGCTCATATTAATAAACTACTTACTGGATTTCCTAACGACTGGTTTGACATCATATCACATAATGTTACTAATGAAAAAGAATTGTCATTATATCTGTTATCTTTATTATATTGTGCAATAAGTCCAATTGGTAAAGCTAAGTTATTAAACAACTGAACTCTATCGTTTTTATTTTTTACGTTTATGTAACTGCAGGTACTGAAATTACAATAATAGCCGATTATTATTTTCTATTATTAAAACCATTTTGATTAGGGATGGGCATAAAATCCGGATATCCAAATCTGGGTTTGTTTTTAATGTTACTTTAGGCTTACAATTATTTCTAATGTATGGTGTGAATAATTTATTTTATTTTAATGAAAATTTAACAATAAATTAAGATTTATGATATCAATGAACAGCAAAACTGAGTTGAATAATCCAGATACTCCGGATAATTCGTGAAATCCAGATTTACTTAATCTGGGTTTGACAAATCCGAATAATTCGGATTTTTGAAATCCGGATATGCCCACCACTAATTTTTATATTGATGAAGGAAATTATGAATTAGGTACTTGAAATTGTTGTCAATATATCTTGCTCCATTGTTGGTTTTTAACAAATCCCTTATTGTTAAAGTTGCGTTTCTTATGTATGATGCACATTYCGGATTATAATTTGATAATGTATTTTGGACAGCCATAAAATATTCTATTGGCATAAAAGATATCAACATTATTTATTTTTTAACTGACCACGATGATGAAAGTAACTGCTGATCAATACTATCAAATAAAATGTTATCTGCTTGTGCTACTATACTTAAAAACTATACGTCATTGAAATTTCAATGTTACGTACAGTATTTTACCATGTTTTGTGAGAGGCTAAATAAATKTTCAAACAATTTGTTATTATAGTACCTTTATAATCTATTGTTCCTATTACAGGGCTACTTGATGAAACTGCTGCGTGTACTTGATGTGGATATTTCATTCTCAACCAGGCAGCTAAACTTCCTGAATAAGATCCTCCAAATACTACCCATTTTGCATTTAGTAACAATTTGTTATTTTCATTTGAAATGTTGTTTATAAATGTAGCCAAATCAGCTAATGCTTGTTCAACATTCAGGTATATTAAATTGTTAGTGTTTAAATTACTGAAACATAAAGTATCATCAATTATCATATTAAATATAAAATATGCTATACAGGGACCGGTGAAAAAATTAAGAATGYAAGATACAAAATAATGGCACAACGAATAATCTGTAGTAGAAAAATAACTTATACACATCATCCAAGTAAAATCATTGCTAGATAATTATTTTAACAGAAAAGGAAACTTTCAACATAATTTTACAAAACACTGAGAATTAACAGAAAGTTCTTCAGAACTTTTGAGCAGTACCAAAAATTCAGCATCTAATGAGATGAATTACTTATGGTTGTTTTCAACAATGATACAGGAATTCAATTTTTACAAAAAAAGTAATGTTATTAAAGTGAGTGAAACTTGTGAAAAWGGCCATATAATCATTATTTATTAAGGGATCGTGATGGTGGTGTCAGAAAAGAAGTTTCCGGAAGGAAAAAGGTTTAAGAGGACGTGATACGCGCATGTGTTGTCTCCGTCTTACAAATGCGTACCATAGTACAT